ATCACGTATTCAAGAGAAAATAAAAATAAAGAGGTGAGAGGATGAGGATAGACATTGGTATCGTATGCTAAGTATCTTCATCTTGATATTGAGATACATGGTGTATAAATACTCACACCTAAAAGCTAACATTTTTGATGCGATCATTATGATCATTGGATAAAATGCCTCGTAGACACGTGTGTTTACGACGCAAATTATCCGCATTATCCAGAGAAAGAGAGAATATGCATAAGCTGGTTATATCTTCAATTGCTTAACGGTACATGGGGGAAACATGGAAAATGTAGATGGTTGAGAAATGCTGAAGAATTTTCCACCGCAAATGAGACTGGAATACGAAAACGGTGTTTCTGAGGTTCATTAGTATTGCTGTACCTCTCTGATTGCTGGATGATTTCATGGACACTGGAAAATATAAAATGAGGAGATAAGGAGAGACATCAGAGAGGGGACATTGGTATTATGTACATCTTTAACATTCTGACTATAAAGACCGGAGAGGGATGAATAAAATTGTTGAGATAGCTCTCGCTTCCTTTAATCTCATCTTCCAGCTCGGGAGTATATCCACCACTCACTCCTGCTTTTAGTTAAGAAACTCCTCCTGAGCTCCTTATCGCTGAACCAGGCAACGTAATCAGCCCAAGTTTCTCCATCAATGTTCCATCGCAACGGATATGGTGAGGAGCTAACTTCCCGGTGTCACCCTTCTTTCGTTGAAGATTTCACTTGGAATTTGCTGACAATCCAGTGGCGAGGCCAAAGCTATTGGATTGGTGGTGATTGTCGTAGATGGATAGGTCAGAGTGAGTTATCTTCCTCACAGTTGTTAAATTCCCCAAGTGTGAATAAACGATGGAATAAAGATTGGATCAAGCGTGATTCAAGATTGACCAAGGTTGACTAAGCCTGGATTCTCAAGGCTGAAACAAGCTGGGATGAAGATCGAAAAATGACTAGGTTTCCAAGGCTGGAGGTTCCAGTCTTGATTGGGGCTTGGATTATAAGCTTCGATCAAACCTGTGATACGAGGATTGAATCTAGGTCTGCATCTCAAGTTTAAACCGAGAATTTGGGGTCAAAACTCGAATTCACAATATACCAATAAATTTTGGGTTTTGTTTGAAAACCAATGATTAAGTTTGTATCAATCAAGATTCATGAATCCAACAATTATTTTTCCCATGCACACTTCATTCAATTCTATTGGATTTCTATTGAACTTTTCATTAGCTTTTGGTCGAAATGTTTTGAAATGTTCAATAGAAAATATTCTATAGAAAAAGTCAACAGCACTTTTTTTGACGAAATTTCTAGATTTTTTTCAAATTAAAGGAGATTGTTCGTTTAAAAAATACTGGCCGAATGTGTTATACATATACTGAATACAGAACACATCAATTTTTTCAACTCCGTCGACATCTCTATTAATTAAATGAATAATTATTACAATATTGAGTTTTTTCTTCTCTCGTTGCCTTCCCAGGAGTTCAATAAATCTCTAAAAAAGTTGACGATTTTTTAAAAGCATTTTTTGTATATATGGTAGTGGTTTAAAGTTTGCCAACTTTTATGGACACCGAAAATCGAAGGATTTTTCGGCTTTTCACTGGCATAAAAAATAAACTAATCAATTTAAATCGTTGAAACTCCGTATCGGATGACTAGAATATGTATATTGCACGGTGAAATCCGTCTGATATTTTTAAGACCAGAGAAAACACTCGACAGGTTTACCAACTCGAGAAGCATTTTAACATTATTTCAATAATTAGAAAAACGTCCAATAAAAATTATTTGACACCCATAGGTGATGAGAAAAAAATCAATCAATCTGATGAATAAAATCAATATTTAAAAAATGTTCATGTTGCATACTTAAATAGTTACTTGAACGTTGGAAAATTTCGTGCTCAGCGATTGAATCACGGTTCCAGAATAATAATACTCCCCTTCTGTTTCACCCCCCTGTGATCTACAGGTGAAACAACTTAAACGGGATTATTTCAAATTCACGGTATCATCACAAAGCCTTGGAATTCTCCCCCGGGACCTGAGCACATCTCGATATACGTCATCGCAGAACTGCCCGACATACATCATCCCAACCTGCCAACTGGTAGCATACCCCCAAACTCCAGCTCCTCATATTGTGATTCTTCTATCAAGAAGTGAAGGACAGCTGGAAGTCGATGATGCCCACAATAATCCACTGAAAGAAAACGAGGGTGGATAACGCACAACATCCACACCCGAACGACATTAATCACCCGACTCCAAAAGGCGAGTAGATAGCCGTCAATTGGTGCTTCTCTCTCTTCAGCCAAGGTGAAGGGGGTGTTCTGATAGATGGAGGTGATGAATGGTTTCGTGACGCCACCGCGATCCATCATCTCTCCTGGGGTACTCCAACACACATCAACGCCCGCTCTTCCTTCTCCTGCGCTTAGTTATCCTTCCTACACACAACGTGTGAGCAAGGAAGACAGATTTCTGCACAAGAGGTCACCCTGGCTAATTCATCATCCGGGGGGACGTCGTGGCGGGCTTCCTTAGCCTCATTCCCTTTCTCTCGTATTTCACATGTCGCCTACGTCGTCAGTGTTGCCTTCCACGCCTCCTCCTACACTCAGTGTGTGGCTGTAGTCCTCGGTGGTGGTTTTCTCACCCAAGCTCTTGCATACAGAGACCTAGTGAAGACACATAGGCACATTTCAAAGAAAGACACGTGACTGCTCTGTCGACGTGGAGAATGATCGATGGCGGACAACACCAGTTACGAGTGTAACCCCCCTTTCACCATATTTTCTCGTCATTTTCCCTTTGATTCAAACGTCACGTGCCCCGAAATGAAGAGAAGAAATCCTGAAGATGATCAATGACTCTGGATTCTGGAGTAAATTGTCGATTCTCCACAAGATCGTGTTGAATCCAAAATGAAAAAAAAATTCTCCGCAGGCATGAGGAAATAATCCTCAATCATAAAACATTCATCATCGACGCTAGAGTCTCCAACTGTGTCTTACCCACCATTATTTCTCATACATTACAGCCAGAAGTTATACCTCCAATCGATGATTTATATACCAGTTTGTACAGCACCAGGGAAATTCAGAAAGGCACTTGGGTTTTGATGCAAACCCATTGTGTGAGAAACAGTGGGCAGTGCGAGCAGATCTACGGTGTGGGAAACAGCTATAGCCGGCGAAGAAAGTTGCCTTTGTGTTTTATGTACGAACGATACATCAAATCGAGAGACGAAAAGAATGGAGGGGGGCGTACTGAGTGGTTTTATGGACATAGCTGGTGTTATTGATTTGCCACCTTGTCCAAGCTAACTAGTGATGTCGCGAGACGCGAGAGAAACGAGACAAGAGACATGACGAGACGAGACGAGTCTTTCGAGACAATGACAGAAACGAGACGAGTCGAAAAAGCCGGTCGAGAACGAGAGCCGAGACGAGAGTCGAGAGCGCCTCTCCCTCTGTGTATTTTTGTTCCGTGCAAATTGGATTATAGAGACGAGATAAGGCGAGATGAGACGAGAGAAGAAATTGCTCTGGTATTTCGATACGAGACGAGACAAGAGAATGGTTTCCTGACAACGAGACGAGACGAGAACATGCAGTGTCTCGTCTCGTCTCGCGGCATTACTGAAGCTAACTGGCAAGACTTTCTGTCCAAGATAGTTGATGAACATTAGCAACCCGAAGAGGCAAGCCAACTCGTCAACTGAGACCTGACGTACCATCTCTCAGTTCGCCTTGAGCTGACTGGCCTGAAAGACCCGTTGACTTCTCCATTAGTTCAAATCATTACTAATAACATCGTGATAATGCCTTTGGATTGCCGGATTACGATTGACCATAGATTCTGAAGCGTAACATTAACATTACCGCCCACGTCAAATGACTTGAGCGCTGATGGGTGGGCGTATTTGATGTTGTTAAATTACATGTGCCTGTCGCACTGAGTTCCCCTCCGACAACCAACACATCTCTCGAAGTAAGAAACACTGTACTTTGTTTATTGACGGTTATCTCATCCCTCGGAGTTTCATCATGCCACAGAATAACCAAAGAGAGACATTAAATTCATGACTGCATACTCACCGAAGAGTGAAGAGATGATGTAGTTGCTCAGGACCTCCCCCTGTTCTTTTCATCGGCATTGTATGTAAATAAGGAGGTGGATGAATAATGATCAGAAAGAAAGAGACCACGATGATGAAAAAAAGGTCAGAAATAAATGGGCTCAAGCGGAATTCGAATTATGAGAGTCACGCACAACTGTAATGACTCCGTCGGCGATTAAGCTTGATGCAACATTCCCTGTGATGTATGACAATTGATCGCACCAAATGTGTTCTTCTTTTGTTACAAGCCCTCCCCTATATATTTAGTTCAACTAATTGATATTCAACGACGCAGGTAATTGCCCGGAATAACATGGATTCCAATTCCCAAAGAATGGAACTGAGAAATACGGCGCTTGAGGCTATTCATTCTGCCACTGTAAAATCACCGGGAATATTTCACCCCTGAAAAGGCAGTAGACGACATTTTCTTCTTCAACTGCCAGACTACATACCCAAAGTCAGGAGGGCAAAAGCTGTTTTAGCCCCCTCTACACCCATTTGAATTTTCCACATTTCCCTTCTGTTCTCTCCAACTTCTCCTCACACACATCTTCCAACACCAGACATTGGTATATACGATTGTGTGGCAGGCTCAATGGCTCAGCAGATTTATGCCGCCCGCCTCACAGCGCTGATATCCGAGAACTGACGACCCGCTCTTCCCGTAATGAAAGAAATAAATTTACTCGTGACCCCCTCCCACAGAGGGGGCAAGGGGGGGAGGGATCACGATGAATTGGAAAATATGGCTTGGATGATATGTTAAAGTGGATTTGAGGATAATGACAATGATACAAGTTGAATAGGCACAGTGAATACACCATAATGCAAGTCATAAAATGAAAGAGTGACACGTGTATTGAATATGTGATTCTACAAACATGTTTATTAAAGCGGTATGGAAACTCAACGATATTTACAATTCCTATTTACAGTGTGAATGACACATCGTTGCATCGTGTGGGTCGTCTACGACGATAAGAACACTCATCCGACGGCATGTTAGACAGGCGTGACAATTTTTTTCCCCTTTCTCTCGTTTTATCTCACTAATTTACACCGGATGTTGTGCTCTCAACAATTCAACGATTCCCCAGACGTATTCTCTGTTTACACTCGACATCCACATGATCTCCAGCCCAGTGAATTCTAAGGGATCAAACGACGGATAACGAAAGCAAACGGAAACGCTTGGTTCTACAATCGAAATGAATAATAAATATCACAGTTATACAATGGACACGAATCGTATCATCATTTTTTCTTCACGCCTATCTCTCTCTCCTATTACCCCCTCGTGTTGACTCAGGCCATTCTTCAGCGACACATGATTACACATTTTACTCAGCATGAATTACGACGCTGTATTTTCCATCCTTACTCCACATTGGACGAGTCGTAAAACCGCCTCGTTGGTTTGGAAAACAAAGACGAAAAAATACAAGGCTCTATTGCCAACCCCCTCGTAAAAAGCCCACCTCCCCGTGACTCCATGCACACCACTGTGTCATAAACATATTCCAACACTAACCCACAAGAAAAAGAGAGAGAGAGAGAGAGAGAGAAGTAAAAAAAAAGAATGAAATATTGTTTGATAATTTATATCGAGTGGACACAATCGTGAAAACGAGACGTTTAATAATACCCGCTCGTAAATCAATCGGATTTTAATAGGCGTATAATTCAAGTGTGTCAGAGCGGCTCTCTGCAGCCAACGGGGCGACGTTAAACTGTCGCGATACATCATAAAACTTCAATTGTAATATATTTAGTTTATATATTCATATATTCATTTGCCATTTTTTCTCCATTCTGTTTTCGTATATATCTGTATATTCATTTAAATAGAGTTTATAATTTACATGAGCACCCGCGGCGCGTTATTTACAAGTGACAGTCTCTGGTTCATACAACAATTGTATACTTGTATCTTGATTGTGGCTCGATAAAATCACCTTAAGGATGAACAGCAGCGCCCATTCGTTGGCCGTAGAGAGTGTAGGGTGAGTAGTAAGGTCCCAGAGTGTTGAATGCACTGTAAGGCGATGCGGCTAATGACGCAGGAAGCGGACCGCCGGCGGGGGGTTTCCCGTAGGGATGGTATCGGCCGCTTAACGGGCTGAGAGAGGGTGCGGGATAGGTGCCCCCGGCCGCGCGATGAAGGGCGGCGGATGGTGACAGCAGCGGATGATGATGCTGGCCGGCGAGAAGTGCGGCGGAGGCGGCCGCATCGCTCCCCGCTATGCTGGTGTGGCTCCGCAGATGTTGGAGGAGCTCCTCGGACGTGGTGAAGCGTTTGCCACAGTATGTCTCTCCGGCGATCCAGTTGCAGACGTAGGGCCTCCCGCCAGCGAGGGACTGGGGATAGGACATGGATGGCGGCGGCATCGGTCCCAGGGAGGAGAGGGCCATGGCTAGTCCGTACTTCTGATGTTCGCACTGCGTGCAACCGCTTGGACAGGGGCCCGCGCCCATCATCATCTGGGCGTTGTGCATGCTGTACTGGCAGCCGGTGCAGTAGGGGTCCTTGCAGACGGGGACAAGGGCTTCGCCACCGGCCGGTGTCTTGACGCGGGTGTAGCTCAGGTACGGGTTGCTGCCGGCCGCCGTCGGATACCCGAGAAGTGCCGCAGCGGCTGCCGCGTGATGATGGGAGAACGGAGATGCGCCGGGGAATGACGGCCTGAACGCGGGATTTTCCATCAGTCCCGGGGGGCAACAGAGAGGATTGCTGCCGAATCCTAGGCCGTGCTTGTAGGCATTGAGACTACTGCTCTCTTTGGGGTGTCCAGCACCCGACAGCACCTCCATTCCTGATCGAATTATTGGACTCGCTCCACTATTCCGTGATGAATCGCTCGATTTTTCCGCCTCCTGAGCTGGGGTCTTTCGCTCGGACGGCGATGCACTGCTCGCGGATGTTGTAGTGTGTCCCTGACAGGGGGACGCTGATTTGCGGCCAAGGGGGGTTCGTTTGCCCGACTTTTTGTCCGTGTTGTTGTTATTTTCACTTGCACTAACACTGTCCTGAGCACTGACACTCTGTACACTGGCTTTTGATGTCGGTCTACTGTCGTCGTGGCTTGATTTTTTAGTTAGAACGTTTGTTTCGTAGGGCTTGAACGCCAGGGGCTTGGGTTCCGACGGACTACTGCGGGTCCGGTCCATCTTGGCCGCCGGCGGGGAACGCGCGTTTGAAGTGGTCTTTGATTTTTCCAGTGACGATATCAGGGGCTTTGATGGTGAATCTGCACCTATTTGGCTGCAGGTCTGGGCGAGCATGGCCAGCGGACTCTTTTTCGCATCCAACTGTAAAAAATTGAAAAAGGTGATTAATGAAATTTTGAAATTTTCAAAAAATGTGGAGAAATTTGACATTTCTGATGAGAAACTTCAGCCAATTGCGGTGAATACTAACCGTCGTTGGAAGCGGAGAAAGATAATCCGGTTGTAAGTACTGATTGTGTCCAGTGGTCAACATTCCGCCTTCTTCTAGCACAACCATTTGTATTAACCACTCAATCAATAAAAATATATCACATAAACACTGTGTAAATTCACTCCAACTTATTTATCCTCACCAATTGCAATATTCGATAATTCTGAATCCAAACTTATCCCTTGGGATATATCCGGTAAACTTTGTACGAGGTACAGACGAGCGCAGTGTTACGTACAAAATCCGAGAAAGCAGTGAGAACCGCTCTACTCAACTCGCCCAGCTCCCCCGAGTGACTGCCGTCAGCGCCATCTGCTGGCTCCCCCACTCCTCCGCCAATACCTTCGAGCGCTTTCGCTCCCCTCCCCCCGTCCGCCGAATCGGTGGCAATCAGAAAAGTGGGGATAGCCCGCTACGAGACTCGTTCGTACAGCGGTGGAAATGGGGAGGCATTCTAATTCAACACGCCACCCATGATGTTGGCCCGACGATGACAGCTCCCATCCCGGCTTTGATATTTCACCGCTTTTGCCTCTCTTTCCCTTTCTCTCTCGCTCTACCCCCCCTATTCCCATCAACTCCCACCATCATCAGAGTGACTCTCCCTCCCTCTCGCTGCCCCCGTGGACAAGGGGAACCGGTGCTGAGCTGCCGTGGCACGGCAACCCGATATTTTATACCGTGAAACCTGTCTGTCTCTTCACCAGCCGGCTTCGCTTAATAAGCATCTTTCAAAATAGAAATGTAATGGGGTGAAGGAGCGGCGGCGGGGGCAAGAGGGGGCGCCCCGCCAGTGGGGCCCTGGGGAAGATAGAAAGAGAGAGAGAGGATGGAAGTAGCGAGTGATTGATTGCTCGTTGGGCGACTTACCGACCACCACTGCTGACGCCTCCCTTGCGCAGCGCGTCAGTAACGAATGACAGCCACTTAGCCGCTGTTTGCCTACAATTTCGTGAAAGCGTTTTAATTATCGCCCCGACGAAATTCCTCCCATTGACGTCTCGACGTCCCCGCCACTACTCTATTACGTGCGATTATGATGACCTCTTCGCATTTCAAGGTTTCACGGATGCCCAACGAGCACAACGATATCTTTATGAATGTTTCCAAAGAGCACAATTTCAATAGTTATCTTTTTGATATACAAAACACTTTCTTATGTCTGTGCAAAAAAAAAAATGTCACCTTTGGGTAAGATGGTATTTTAGATAACTTTTTGATCAATTTGAGGTGTCTCGTTGACTATCCTCCGAAAAATGACATTTTGCACAGACATAACACAGTTTTTTTTATACATTGTTAAAAAAATTTGTCTGAAATTTGTGGTACACTTTTGGAAATTTTCATCGAATTTAATTACCACTGAAAGTTCAAGGAATTTTGTCATTAAATATTCATAATTCCGTGGAAAAATCAAAGAGAACTGTAAATTTCAGTTCCATTTTTCTCTGAAAATGAATAGAAAACAAGAAAATTCCGATAAATATATTCTTGGATTTTCAGGATAGTGACACTGATTGCGATTTGGGGGTACAAAAACATGTAATTTAGGATTTCACTGAAAATTCAATGTAATTTGGCACTGAATATTTATATTAGATTGAAAATTCAAATAAATAAGGAATTCTCATCTTTATTTTTTTTCTAACAGTCTGTATCTAAGAGATAATTATCAAAATTGTGTTCTTTGGCATTCTGATATCCAAAACGGACACAAGATAACCGTTGACCTGTTCAACATGGCCATTCATTTAGTTACAAAACAGTCAACTAAGTATAATTAGATTACTTGAAGCATATCTCAAGACAATATCACCCAAAAGTTAGTCCCTGTGGATTCCCAAATAAAAACATCTAAGTGACTTAATTCATTGGATTCTCATAAGTTATTGAGTTTCAATCAAATAAGAAATGACTTCACGAAATTTCCATTTTTTACAGTTGAATATCGCGGAAACTATGTACTATAAAATTGAAAAAAACTTAATCGTATTCGTGATTTATCAATACACCACGGATTTATTTTTTAACTGGTCAATAGACGAGCTATGAGACTTTCTCTCACAAAAATTTTCACTTCATAGGAAATATATCCTATAAATATAAAAGTGCAAATATTTTACTGAAATTTAGAGAAAATTTTTTGAATGCCTCAACTACCTGTTCTGGTTGGCTCTGGTGGTGACAAAAGTAGTCTATCAGTCACGGTTGAGTAGAAAAAAAATATTTTCATCACGCTGTCCGTAAAACGTCGTTTATTTTGCGAGAAACCAATGAGACCCACATGGAAAAAATATATATACAGAAATATACGTCACTTATATCCGCTTATATGTGGTAGATTTTCCGGCAAAAAATGCAATATTTGAGATATATGTTGGATATATATGTGTACATATATGGCACCGGGTATACCTAGCATATACCTAGTATACAAGGCGGATATATTCAAGATATAATTCCGGCAAAATCACTATATCTCACTTATACGTTTTGGCTTATATTTTTTTCTGTGCGGGGAGATTCTCTCATCGCGCGCCTCAAGAATCCTGGTAGAACCACGCGCCTACTGACGGGTTAAAAACATCGTAAGAACCGTTTTCTCATAAGATGGAAAAATCGAATTCGGGGGAGCTATGAACCCCGTTTGGCCTATGCATCGCGTGCTAGAAGTCCGCATTTTATTATTTATCATCTCCTAAACGGTGTAGTACAGTTAGTTGGATTTTTTTTCAATAGCTGGAGAATATTATAAGCATTGTCTGTGAAAAACGTAGGGATAGACAACCAAAGGGAGCTTTCAAACAAAATATTTGTTGACATTGACGAAAATAGGATATCGGTAGGACATATCAAATCGTCGTCTTCGGCCGATTTTCAGACATCAATTATTAGATATCATTGAAAAAAAACGTGCAGTTATTTATACGTTGTGTTCTGGCTTATCCGAATGCTGCCAAAATAATGCCATTTTCTGGATGCCGTTGGGACAAGCAGAGCTACTTGGGATTAATCTCGAGTAAATTGAAGATGCTGAAAAAAAAGGGAAAAAATCGAAGGAGAAATGAGATTAAATATGGTATTACGAGGCACTTCTTACCAATGCAGCTTGTTTCCTTCACCAACGAGATAGTTATGTTACAAGATAATTGCGACGAATTATCCGAGGTATCCAGAGGGGGGGCATTGTACACGGGTGTGCGCGGAGTGCACACGGGCGAGGATAATTAGCCTCGGGGAAGCCTCCGGGGGGAATACTCGAGCCTCCTCGGGTTTATAGTGTCTGAGAAATGCCGTGAGGTATCTCAGTGTAATTTAAATTGAAACTCGTTATATACCATCTAAGGTATGCTTAACCGAATGTGTCAGAGAGTTGACGTGCTGCAAATTAACTTGATATCTCTCTAGCCCCATTTAATTTTCATTATGTTTCTTCATTCTAGGTGAGTGCTTCGTTCCTTTTATTTGCCCCTCGAGTTGTTGGCAAACTTTGGGCTAGCATTTGAAATCTCAAAATCTTGAAAGGATGAAAATTCCGAGAGGGATTTTGCAGGGACTCTCGTCCACTAACAATCTACAACGCTAAAACGCCGGGACGTTCTGACGCTGACGGATGAGCTTACAGCTAATACGGCGGTGGCCTTTGATGTTTGCCGAGCTGACAGGGGATGACGAGGCACTGGGGAATCTGCCGATGTTCCATTACGACAAAACCTACCCGCCTTTTGCTCGACGAGAGGTTTCACATTGCGCTTTGCTTTTCTACGGAACACTAAAGCGCGTTTGTAAACAAACTTTCGTGAATTGGTGTGGATGACCACATACTGAAAATTATTACTTCTGACATGCATTGTTTATTCCATGCAGCTTCAACGCCCGTGAAGAAATTTTCAGAGGCTGGGAAGGGGGGGGGGGACAATGAGGAGATGGACATGCATTCGATAATGTAGTTGGGGGTGAGCAAATTCGATAGAAAATCGTAGCGATTTAGTCATGCCGAAAGAATTGGTACACCAGACAATATCAGACTTCGGCATTATCATAAATTTTGATTAAAGTTAAATTTTGAATAAGTCAATTCTTAATATTATTCATCAATTTTTTAATTATTGTATTAATCATCCATTAAATATTCAAATTCCGAATTATTTTATCAACCAATAATTGAGTTCGGAAGATTGACGATTATTCGGTTAATCGAAAATACTTTTATGAAATTTCAAAATGTTCTTTAAAATTACCAATTATTATATTATTTCTCAAAATTCAATAAAGATAAGTAAACCTTCATTATTGTAAGGTGCAACTTCTCATAATATTACTAAATTAATGATTCATGACGACCCACGGATAATATTTCATGGATTATGGAACGTTTTTTTACGATTTCAAGGGATTCCATGACATCTTCAGAAATCCTCGCCGATTTTGCAGGATTGCGAAGGATTCCAGAGGATCTCATAGAATTTCAAACGATTTATTCGATATTTCATGGGATTTCCATATCTGTGCACCTGCTATTAAAATTCTATTAAAGTTCCCTCAGATTTCTATATAATATTTGACAGAATAATGTCGAAAGATGCTGTTTGGGTTTTTTTTTTAGAATTTTCCAAGTTTATTCAGCTGTTTTTTTTATTGTACATCACAAAACAAATGAAAATTTGGAAAAATTAATAATATTTAATTATAAATAATATTTATTATTCATAATTTATTTAATGCTAATAATTTATTTTTTTGCAAATCCCAGTAGAATCAATTATATAGAAAAATGCAACATGCATCGTTTTTTTTTAACAATATAATATACTGAAAAAAAATACTGAAAAGTTTTATGAATTTCAATAGAAATCGTTAGCGGTTTCTGAAAAATTTCATAATATTTCATAATTTCATATAATTTCATTTATTTCAATTTTTTTTCATTTTTTAGAATTCTCCAAGTTTATGCCACTGTTGTTTCTGTTTCTCATCACAAAATAACTTATAATTTTTAAAAATTAATGGTTAAAATTTTTTTATAGGAAAAGTGCAAACATAAATTATATACAAAAATCAACGTCGTCTTGTTCTAACAAAAAAATCTACTTGAAAGTTTATTGCGAAGTTTTATAACTTTCAATAGAAAACACGAGATTTTTCTGGATTTTTCTAGATTTTTCAATTTCGATTGACAAAAAAATCGATGTCACATATCTGAGAGATAAGTCCACCACACGCGACTCCATTTGATATGAAGAACATTACAACACCCAAAAAATGTGTGACCTT